ATTGTAATGTTTCAAGGAATTCTTGGTAAGGATTTCCTTGCCCAAAATCAGGGGAAAGTAGACATAGACAAGAAAATACTTAAACTTGGAAAGTTCAAAGTATGGCTCAAGTCAAACTTAGAATCCGGTATAACCAGTCAGTCAGGTTATGTGAAAGTGTTAACATCCCCCCTTGTTCTGAGATTCTTGTTCAATGTTGCCAAGATAAACCATGTTTTCTTGAGGTGGGTCTAGTAGAGCCTGCAAAATTCTTAAAAGGGAGAAAACTTCTTTTAGCTAAAACCTTAGTAAGCCCCGGAAGTAAAATTGTTTTGTCCCTAATTAACTTGGGAGAAAAACCTGACAAGATAAAATCTGACACTGTAATAGGAATGATACACCCTATTGAAAGAATTTGCTCTAGGGCCAGTCAATTTGAAAAAGAACAAAAAGAAATACCGGAACATCTTCAGCCCCTATTAGAAAATGTGTCAAATAATTTGAACGAAGAACAGAAATATGAGTTGAGAAAATTGTTAGGGGAATACAGAGACATTTTTAAAGAGCCTGATGGGCCTCTGGGTCAAACAGATCTAGTCTTACATGAAATAGATACAGGGAATGAAAAACCAGTTAAAATCCCACTGCGTAGTTAATTCCTTTAAAACAAAAAGAGGTCATAGATAAAGAACTAAACAAAATGTTACAAGAAAAGATTATCGAACCCAATGAAGGTCCTTGGAGTTCAAATGTTTGTTTGGTCACAAAGAAAGATGGGTCATTGCGATTTTGCGTAGACTTCAGAAAATTGAATCAGGTTACTCGTAAAGATGCATATCCTTTGCCGCGAATCGATAATACATTAGATACCCTATCAAACAGTAGATGGTTCAGTACTCTTGATCTTGCTAGTGGGTACTGGCAAATTAAAATGCACCCAAAAGATAAACCAAAAACTGCTTTCTCCACGCATAGGGGGTTGTTTCAATTTAATGTGCTACCATTTGGGTTATCAAATGGCCCAGCCTCCTTCCAACGTTTAATGGAAAAAGTGTTAGGACACCTATTTAACTGGCATAAATGTCTATGTTATTTGGACGACGTGATTGTTTTTGGTCAGAATTTTGAAACAGCTTTATTGAATCTTAGAAGTGTATTTGAATGTTTTAGAAGAGCTAATTTAAAACTGAAACCATCCAAGTGTGTATTATTTCAAGAGCAAGTGAGTTTTTTGGGACATGTGGTTTCCAAAAAGGGTGTTCAGTGTGATCCTTCAAAAACTGATGCTGTAAAAAACTGACCCAGACCTGAAAACAAATCAGAAGTGAAAAGTTTCTTGGGATTAATTGGGTATTATAGACGTTTTGTTCCCGACTACTCTCTTAAAGCTTATCCCTTGAATGTTCTCACTCGTGCTAAATCAAAGTTGAAGTGGGATGAAAGATGTGAGGATATGCTTTCAATATTCTTAAAAATTGTCTTATAAGTGCACCTATTCTTGCTTTTCCGACTGAAACTGATACTTTCGTGTTAGACACTGATGCAAGTAGAGAAAGTATAGGAGCTGTACTTAGTCAAATTCAGAATGGGGAAGAGAGTACCGTATTTAAGCCTATGCAAGTAAAACACTTAACAAAGCACAACAGAATTATTGCACCACACAAAGGGAACTTTTAGCTGTAGTTTGTTTTGTTCGGTTGTTTCGTCATTATTTGATAGGCAGGAAATTTCTATTAAGAACAGACCACACCCCTTTGATTTGGATAAAAATCAAACTTCAAAGATCCCGAGGGGATGTATGCTAGATGGATTACTATCTTGGAGAATTTTGATTTTGAGTTACAGTACAGGGCATGTTATAAGCATAGAAACGCTGACGGGTTAAGTAGGATTCCAAACAGACAATCTAAAAACCCCAATTGTCCTGAATGTGTACAAAAACTGTCATCAGATCAAATAACTTCCAATAAAATCAATGAAGTTCAAAATGTTCAAGTTTCAAACAGTAAAAATCAAGTTTTTGACAATGAGCATGTAAATACTAATAACAACAATATCAGATACTAGTGTACCAGAAATAAGGGAGAGAGAAAATCCGAATTGGTTAGATGTTTGGAGTAATGGGGAAATTTTAGAAATGCAATTAAACGATCCAGGGATAAAACAAATCTTATTGTGGAAACAAGATGGGAGAACAGTACCCCCTGAGAATGAAATAAGTACTCTCAATGATGAGGCTAAGTCACTTTGTGCAATGTGCAAAATGCTCAGTATATCAGATAATCTGCTCTATCTAAAGGGAGATAACTCTTTGGGTATCCAAATTTCAAGACTTGTCGCGCCCCAAGAAATTAGAAATGTGTTATTCCAACATTTACACACCAACAGAACTGGGGGACATTTAGGTAGAGATAAGATGATTAAAGCGGTAAAACGGCGATTCTATTGGCCTAAACAAAATGATGATGTTAGACGATGGTGTGAACATTGTGATGGGTGTGCCCGGGGAAAACCTGGCCCTGGTTTGGGGAAATCTCCATTAAAGCAATTTCATGCTAGTGCCCCTATGCAAATTGTAGCAGTAGACATAGTCGGCCCATTGCCTATTACAGACAAAAATAATGAATACATAATTGTCTTTGGGGATTACTATACTAAGTGGAAGGAAGCATTTGCTGTAGTACCTAATCACTCTGCGGTAACAGTAGCCGACAAACTGGTCACTGAAGTATTTTGTAGATTTGGCTGCCCAGAACAAATTCATACTGACCAGGGGAGGGAATTCGAGTCTGAACTGTTTAGTTGTATTTCTGACCTCCTTGGTATTCATAAAACTCGAACGACCCCATACAGACCCCAGTCAGATGGGCTCGTCGAACGATTTAATCGTACCCTCATTCAGATGCTTTCAATTTGTGTTGATGAAAATTTCCATAGCTGGGATGAACATTTGCCATATTTGTTAATGGCTTATAGATCTACAGAACATAATAGCACCAAGTGTACGCCAAACCTCCTTATGCTTGGTAGGGATATTAATTAACTGCCCTCTTGACTTAATGGTTGGGTTACCCCCAGATCAAAGACAAGTTAGATGTTCAGTTCAATATGTTGAATGGGTACAGTCAGTTATAAATAAATCATTTGAGCTGGTTCATAGTCAGTTGGGAAAAGCAGCAAATAGACAAAAGAAGGGGGTATTCAATATTTTTGAGATTTTTTTTCTTCTTCTAATTTTATAGTCAAATGTATAACATTTGTCTTTTAGGGGGGGAGGAATGTGACAGATTAGGTTTACTTACGTTTTCATAATTATTTCATTTCAATCCCGATGTAAATTGTCCACGTTTTATTTGGAAAGGCCCACTTTTATCTTTCGGCCAATAAGGTTTTTGACAGTTTCTTTTGTTCCTTTTTCATATATAAAGCTATGTAACTATTAGATTGGGGAGGGAGACAGCTGGCTTCGCTAGCTAAACTCTTCATATACTGGAATCGTCCCTTGTTCGTCTGTCTTAATTAATTATTACTACTTAGGTTAGACTATATTTGGGTTAAGTTAGGCCATATTTGGGTTGGGGAAATAAGGTCTTCATATTGTGTACTATTATAACGTACTGTAAGATTGGTAATAAATTGTAAAGTCTTGTTAATCTTATTTTCTTTTATAGTTCATTACAATTTACAAATATTTCCAATGTATAATCTAATGTAGAGGTCTTATATTCAGAAAGTCGTCTCAAAAAAAAAAAAATAAACACAACGCGAAGTACAGGCTATATGAACACCAGACCTGCTACAATATATAGAGACAATTTTTTTTTTTTTTCATTTTTGGCAATTTGTTTTAGGCCTACAGTATTAAAATTGGACTCATGTACTAGGAATATCATTTCTTTAGCAGAACTATCCCACTGAATTAAAAGGAACTCTTTTTTCAGGTGCGCATGATGCAACTTCCTGGATGGTGTGTAGGCTGTTTGTCAACATGTGAATCCCACATGCATTTCGGGTAGGTAAGTTTATACTGTCGATTTTCTTCCTTAAAAGCCGCATTATAAGGCATATTTTTTCTGATCTCAAATTTTTGTTTAAGCATTAATATTTATTTTCTCTTTCATGAATTTTATGCGGAGAGTCTAATAAATTAAATAATTTAATTCAAGTTATATAGTGAAATTATTTCCTTGTGTGAGACCTAAAGAGGGACAAGTAACTCTCATTTTCACTAAAATTTCTCTGATTTCAGGAGTTGTCTCCCCTTGAAAAGATCAATAATGGCGGATAAACAGTGCGGCATGCAGTCTGGTCACCAACGGACAGTTTTGACACACGTATACCTGGATTTCTACCAATTACCTCTGTAACCTTTGTTGTGTTCATCACACAGGTAAGAAAAACAAGACTTTTAATTCAAAAAATTTTAATGAGCTAAATAATAAAGAATATAACATTTTTACATGTACAGACTCTCTCGTATAAGAAAATGTCACATTTTACATATACAATAATACATTATTCACATGTCCACATTTTCCCCATTTACACAGTTGAAAATAATCAATGCATAATGAACCATAAAAACAATTATTACATGTATTAAAGATAGTTCACAAAATATATTTTTAAATACAAATTTTATACATTTGAAATGCATGTACATATCATCAATGCCCCCCCCCCCCCTTCACAGTCTTACAATTTCCTCTTTAATTTTGGATCTGTTAATGATTTACTGTAAGTGTCTTTAGATTTTTTATCATACAGCTGATATCTTTTAGATCTGTAGATTTTTCTTTGAAATTTATATTTTAACAGTTTTTGTTTCATTTTAAAGTAATTTTGTCTATTTTGTTGTTGTTTTAGATGATGGACCACTCTACTTCCTTTTAAAACAGGTGCCCCAACAGATTCACAAAGTTCCAGTGTTGAGTTTCTATGACCCCTATTTAGTGAGTGCACAACTTTATGTATTCTACTTTCAAAATTCCTACTACTTGTAATACATTTTGGATTTGATTTTAAATATGCCCTATTTACAGATTCAGATTTTTGTGTACAAGTATGATATTTCATTCTATCAAGATTACTTTGTACTAAAGTCAAATTTATACAGTCTTTTAACAAACATTTGTCTTTTTCTGTCATGTTTAATTCAAAGTCACTAGGCAACACTGAAGATTTCCACTTATTGCTTTTCAGTCCTCGACAGGAAAAGGAATAGAGTTGACAGGACTTCCCGCACTGTCCCTGATAGCAGTTTATGAGGGAACCAACTGCAGTAGACATAGCACGCTTCATCAAAGGTAAGTCCCCGGAGTAGTGTTTGTAGCAATTCTCGTACTCTGTCTTGCATCGAAGCTTCAGGTCCAAGGCAAATCTTCTCTGCATGGATTCTCTTATGGCCTTGGTTCTTCCCGGAAACATGTGACTGCTGAATGGAGCCTTAGCAGTCTGTTTTCTTTGAGAGTCAAAGAAGTGATGCAAGTCCTTAAGGTTTTCAATCACATGTCCTTGTTTTTCAGATGCACCAGACGCAGCGGCACTGTCTCCATCACTGGTGAAATGGGATATGACTAGTGGACGGTCATCACTTTGTAACTCACCAACACAATTTGCGGCCCATCGCTTCTCGTCTCCAATGGTGGTCTCCGGAGGAATGGTTGCAGTGCAGTCTTCATGTCCTGGGCAGGTAACTTCTTTTCCTTTGCTTCGTAGGTGTGCGCCTTTCATACATAGTTTATTCCCACAGAAAACTGCTACCACATTCTTCCTCTGAGTTACATTTTCACTTACGGTATACGTCACTTGGGTGGCAGCTTGGAATGGGGTTTTCCCAATGGCACTGAAGGTGGCATTATTGTACCGAGCATCTCCTTCCGCTCTGATGGGGGTATCCGGAAGTCCACATTTTTCATTAAGTTCTTGAATATTCTGCCAAATTTTCTTCATACTGTTTTTATTTACATCGGTTATAATTTTCCCCACTTTGTTGCAGGTCTGTTGCATGTTGGTGGCTGACGCTGGTTCAATATTTGCACCAAGAAGCATACCACGCATACCCTCTGTTGTAAGACTGGTACCCAGGTGACCGACAGCCATGGCCACATTCAGCTGTGCAGCTCTTCGTCCCCTGCCAGATCTTCTCACCTCTTCGTAAAGCTTTTCTCGGTGACTGGTATAGTGGCACTTCTTACATTGAATGGAAAGGATCCATGCCAGGCCTCGTTTTTCCTCCCCATGCTGATTCCAGTCCAGTTGACCATCACAGTCTGGAAACTTCTGTGTTTTTTTAAATGCATATTGTTCCACAATTTAGCAGACTTTTTTTGGTGAAGTACTTTGTATAATTTTAAATTTGGGTCATCTGACGCAGATTCCATGTAGGTGTCTACTGGCTGGACCTCATTTGGCCTGGGTCATAAAAACTTCATCTCGCTGCTTCGGCTCTTGGCATCTATAACTGCTAACATTCCATTTTTCTGTGGCCGTACAATGTCCTGAAACTCTTCTTTACTTAGTCTTCTTATGGGAACCAGAGATTGGACTGGGCTGATGGTCCCTATTTTCTTCTGGCCTTTGTTGTGAGGAATACTTCCTTAATTTTTTGTATTGATGTTGATGCAACCATCTTGGTCCTTTTTTTGGCATGGTAATTATTTAACTGTATACTTGTAGACTTTTTCTAAGAATATGCTATTGTATGTGGTGCACATTTTTAGCCGGGCTTATTGCTCAAAGAGCAATTGCCGGCTTATGTGATCCTGTTCAAGGCAGGATGTTAACCCCATAGTCGCCATTTCAAAGTTATGTGCAAAAATATAGTTCTTACTCTCAACTGCTTTTGAGATAATACAAACGCTAAATAAAGCAACAAAAAATAAAACGAAGTTTTATCTATATAAAATAAACATTAGTAGTAATGACTTTGAAAACTTCATAAGTCAAAGAACATAGTTCATTAGCGTAAGGATTTTTGATAATCAGTGTTACTGTAGTTCTCTACACATACAAGGTACATGTAATTTAAGCAGGAGAGGGAACCTGAGACTGGCCTGTTTGTTTACATTCAGCTGCGGTACCAGATTAATTCTGATTCTGACAAAATCGGACCGTGGTATTAGGATTGAAAAACTCACTGTCAGTGTCTTATCATTTATATTGATAGTTTTAAAATAATTTTTTCATCAGAATATAAACGTGATTCATGTAAGAAATCCATTCTTCTCTGTAAATGAGCCCGCGGCTCTCTGTACTTCTGACTACTTTGATTAAGTATTGTAAACTTTTGTGTTGTTTATTTATTTTAGAGCTGCCAGGACTTCTAAGAGAAACTCCATTCTTTGATGACTGATGGAAAAGCCTAGCTCATCATCCCCCCCCCCCCCCACTGCTTAAGAACCCCTTATCTTAATCACCAGCCATTAATCAGTGATCACTGTTACCAAAGCTCCAAGGTACATTATTGAAGTCTCTTTTGACACCATTTTTTCCAGTCTCTGACTTTGTTTTAAAATTAAGATTTTCACTTTTTTGCTAATTGATTCCTTAAAAAACAGTGAACTTCATGTTTCTTAGCTAATTAGAGCTCATTAATTAGAGTTGAAATTATATTTTAGCAGATAGCCAAAAACTACAATATTTCAGCTTTCATTTCATTCAAATTTTTTTTCTGAATAATTCACTTTAGTTAAATTTTTTCAAGTTTTGAAATTAATATGCCAAAGATGAATTTGTACAGAAATTTAGCCTAAAATTCAATAATCTGTTAGGAAGAGTTATCTCCTATTTTTCATCCCTTAAGGACAAAGATAAATTTTGATGCACTAGTAATTATGAAAGATAAATAACTCGGAGACATTTTGTGCAAATTTCATTAACTTTTACAGGTACTTGTCTTAAAGGTTTTAGTCACAAGGAAATAGCCAATCAAAATGAACTTAGTCAATTAACAGAAGTTCAATATATATAGAGAGACAATTTCTTTTTCTTTTTTCATTTTTGGCAATTTGTTTTAGGCCTACAGTATTAAAATTGGACTCATGTACTAGGAATATCATTTCTTTAGCAGAACTATCCCACTGAATTAAAAGCAACTCTTTTTTCAGGTGCGCATGATGGCCAACTTCCAGGATGGTGTACTGTAGGCTGTTTGTCAACATGTGAATCCCACGTGCATTTCGGGGTAGGTAAGTTTACTGTCTATTTTCTTTCTTGAAAGCCGCATAAGGCATATTTTTTCTGAACTCAAATTTTTGTTTAAGCATTAATCTTTACCTTCTGATCTTTCATGAATTTTCTGCGGAGAGTCTAATAAATTAAATAATTTAATTTAAGCTATATAGTAATATATACTGAAATTATTTCCTTGTGTGAGACATTAAGCCATGGATCCAGAGGAGGATTACTTTGTCACTTGGTCTGCTGAGGGAGATATAAAGGTCAGTAATTAATGCAAGAGAATACAGAAAAGCGCAAGCACCAGACAAAGATTTTAAACAAGGTCCCCTGGAATACTTAAGTAAAGTGCTCCACCAAAGCATCCCGCCACTGGCAATTGAACCTGGCTGACTCCCAAACCTTTTGATCAGAACCTAAAGAATTTTCTCATTAAACTTTATTTTAAACATTAGAGAACATGCATTTGATGGTGTTCTAAGTGCTAGATTAGTGACATGTGAATAACCTGGCAGAGAAGAGTTTGGGTTGGTTTCTTTGGGGGAGGGTAGGTGGTATATGAGAACTTTAAAGCAGGGGGATTGTAGCAGTCAGGAAGGTTCAATATAAAGTGATCAGATGGGTGGAATGATGGAGCATCTGACTAGTGCCTCAGGGGCCCTGGTCTGCTCTATTGCATAATTTTCTCTACAACAGGGTTTTAAAAAGGGAAATACACTGGAAGAGCAATTGTATGTACACAAGATTTATGACTTACATTATTTTTCAGGTCTGGGTTTTGGATGTTCATCAGCTGGTTGTCAATTTCCCAGGAGAACACAGTAAAAGTACATTTTTTAAGAGCATTGGTTCCACCTCAGGTGTAACACAGGTAGCCATTTGGCCAGAACATAATCCGTTTTCTTGTGGAATTGATGGATCCATGAAGTTCCGATCACTACCCGAGAGGGAAACCATGGTGCCATATTGGACAGCATAATTATTTATTTTAGTGTAGAGCAGATGTGGCATGCTTATTGAAAAGCTTACTATAAATGGTCACATTCTGTATTTCAATGTTAAAGTGGATTCTGAGATACATGTACTAGCTTTCAACCACTCTATAAGATTAAGATAATCTAATTGTGTTCAACAGAAAGCTTGTATTGACTGTTATGAAGGACTTTTATTTTTTTTTTTGAAATTCTTTATTTTGTGTCATTGATTTGAATTTTAGTTATTTGTTATAAGTCCCTTAACACATTCTGTGATTGGTAAATGTAAGTTATAGATCAGAGTTTGAAATGTGTTTCAGTAGTATATGTATGTGAAACATTATACATGTATGACCATTGTATGTCCATAAGCTTTTTAGCTCACATGAGCTGAAGGTTCAAGTGAGCTTTTCTGATCACATTTTGTCTGTCGTCCGTCCATCTGTCCGTCTGTATACTTTTTATTAGCTCACCTGAGCTGAAAGCTCAAGTGAGCTTTTCTGATCACATTTTGTCCGGCGTCCGTCTGTCTGTCCGTCTGTCTGTAAACTTTTCACATTTTCGACTTCTTCTCAAGAACCGCTGGGCCAATTTCAACCAAACTTGCCACAAAGTATCCTTGGGTGAAGGGGATTCAAGTTTGTTCAAATGAAGGGCCACGCCCTTACTCAAGGGGAGATAATTGGGAATTAATGAAAATTTGGTGGCAGATTTTAAAAATCTTCTTCTCAAGAACCACTGTGCTAGGAAAGACGAAACTTATGGGGAAACATCCTCAGGTAGTGTAGATTCAAGTTTGTTCAAATCATTACCCCCGGGGGTAGGGCGGGGCCAAAATGGCCGACCTAAGTTTTACATAGAAATATATAGGAAAATTCTTTAAAAATCTTCTTCTCAAGAATGACAAAGCCATAATTCATCATATTTATATGGAAGCATGTTCAGGTAGTGTAGATTCAAATTTGTTCAAATCATGACCACCGGAGGGTAGGGCGGGGCCAAAATGGCCGACCAAAGTTTTACATAGAAATATATAGGAAAATTCTTTAAAAATCTTCTTCTCAAGAATGACAAAGCCATAATTCATCATATTTATATGGAAGCATGCTCAGGTAGTGTAGATTCAAGTTTGTTCAAATCATGACCCCCGGGGATAGGGCGGGGCCAAAATGGCCGACCAAAGTTTTACATAGAAATATATAGGAAAATTCTTTAAAAATCTTCTTCTCAAGAATGACAAAGCCATAATTCATCATATTTATATGGAAGCATGCTCAGGTAGTGTAGTTTCAAGTTTGTTCAAATCATGACCCCAGGGGATAGGGCGGGGCCTAAATGGCCGACCAAAGTTTTACATAGAAATGTATAGGAAAATTCTTTAAAATTATCTTCTCAAGAATGACAAAGCCATAATTCATCATATTTATATGGAAGCATGTTCAGGTAGTGTAGATTCAAGTTTGTTCAAATCATGAACCCCGGGGGTAGGGCGGGGCCAAAATGGCCGACCAAAGTTTTACATAGAAATATATAGGAAAATTCTTTAAAAATCTTCTTCTCAAGAATGACAAAGCCATAATTCATCATATTTATATGGAAGCATGTTCAGGTAGTGTAGATTCAAATTTGTTCAAATCATGACCCCCGGAGGTAGGGCGGGGCCAATATGGCCGACCAAAGTTTTACATAGAAATATATAGGAAAAATTTCTTTAAAAATCTTCTTCTCAAGAATGACAAAGCCATAATTCATCATATTTATATGGAAGCATGCTCAGGTAGTGTAGATTCAAGTTTGTTCAAATCATGACCCCCGGGGATAGGGCGGGGCCAAAATGGCCGACCAAAGTTTTACATAGAAATATATAGGAAAATTCTTTAAAAATCTTCTTCTCAAGAATGACAAAGCCATAATTCATCATATATATATATGGAAGCATGCTCAGGTAGTGTAGTTTCAAGTTTGTTCAAATCATGACCCCCCGGGGTAGGGCGGGGCCTAAATGGCCGACCAAAGTTTTACATAGAAATATATAGGAAAATTCTTTAAAAATCTTCTTCTCAAGAGTGACAAAGCCATAATTCATCATATTTATATGGAAGCATGCTCAGGTAGTGTAGTTTCAAGTTTGTTCAAATCATGACCCCCGGGGGTAGGGCGGGGCCAAAATGGCCGACCAAAGTTTTACATAGAAATATATAGGAAAATTCTTTAAATATCTTCTTCTCAAGAATGACAAAGCCATAATTCATCATATTTATATGGAAGCATGCTCAGGTAGTGTAGATTCAAGTTTGTTCAAATCATGACCCCCGGGGATAGGGCGGGGCCAAAATGGCCGACCAAAGTTTTACATAGAAATATATAGGAAAATTCTTTAAAAATCTTCTTCTCAAGAATGACAAAGCCATAATTCATCATATATATATATGGAAGCATGCTCAGGTAGTGTAGATTCAAATTTGTTCAAATTATGACCCCTAGGTATAGAACGGGGCCAAAATGGCCGACCAAAGTTTTTAAAGATACATATAGGAAAATTCTTTAAAAATCATTTTTTAAAAAATAGCAAATCCATGATTGGTCATGGGACTACATTTGGATTTAAACTTTACAATAAAAAGCCATTTTCTACTTTTTCCTACCCTTAGTGCTCAGTGAGCGATGTGGCCCATGGGCCTCTTGTATTTTCGACTTCTTCTCAAGAACCACTGGGCCAGTTTTGACCAAACTTGGTATAAAGCATCCTTGAGTAAAGGGAAATTTAAATTGCTAAAATAAAGGGCCAAGACTTCTCACAAAGGGAGATAATCAAGAAAAGACAAAAATAGGATGGGGTGAGTCATTAAAAAATCTTCTCAAGAACCACTGGGCCTGAAAAGCTGAAACTCATGTGGAACCATAATGGGGTTGTGTATATTCTAAATTGTTCAAATCATGACCCTGGGGGTAGGGCGGGGCCACAATTGGGAATCAAAGTTTTTATGGTAGTGTAGATTTCAAATTGTATAAATTATGATTAGCTAGTGGGGTAGGGTGGGGTCACAATATATATTTCAAGGGGAAAATCTTGTAAAGAACGGAATGGTCAAAGCTTCTCAGGTGAGTGATGTGGCCCATGAATCTCTTATTATTTTAACTCCCACCCCAGATGACCTTTGACCCTGAAGAGAGGGAATTCATTTTGTCAATAATACAGATACAATAAAAAATATTAAACAATGCTGTTTTATAACAGATTGGAACTTTAAATTTCAATGATTTCTTTCTTACGTAAATGTGATATTTATGTTACATTGATGTTAATCTAAATATTCCAGGTAAATTTGTTAAACTTAAGTGTCTGTGCACTAGGAGAGTGCAGATTTACTGTTGCTCTTGTATATGTATAATTGTAGTCTTGTATATATATTACAAATGGTAACCTTGTAAACAGAAATATTTGTATCATCAGATTTCCTTATGCAATATTTGTGTCTGATTTAATGATATCATATCCAATAACATTCCTTTATTTTGTGAATTTATACTTCAAATAATCTCTACTAATTTTATTTTAGTCTGAATTGTTATTTACTACAAATATTTAATGAGTCCTGTATATGGGGTAAACATGTAGGTTCAGTTCAGTCCATTGGTTTGTTCACTCATAAATATACTGGGTACTGTAAATATATATTGTACAACAAAACAAGAGAAAAAGCGTTTGAAGAGCATTCGGTACAAGCTGGGTTTGAAAATATGAAGTCTATTTATTTTCGAGACGATATAAGTAGATTATTCTAGCTCATTCCATCAGTAAGACCAAGTAGGAAGCAATCACTTTTTAGGTCACCTGAGTAAACTCAGGTGACCTATTGCTATCTGTTTTCGTCCATCGTCGTGTGTCGTGTGTTAACATTTAAACATTTTCAGTTTCTTCTCTGCAACCACTTAACCAATTTCCACCAAAATTTACACAAAGCATCTATGGGGGAAGGGGAACAAAAATTTTGAATTTCATGGTCCCTGCCCCCCTGGGGCCTAAGAGGTGGGGCCAAAACCACTAAAATTAGTGCAGTCTTTAAAAATCTTCTTCTTTACTCCTGGACATCAAGCAGTCAAACTGTTAGCATGAATGTAATGACCATTGAGTCCTCTACCAAAATTTTGAAATTCATGGCCCCAGGGTCAGGGGTTGTAGTGCTCTAAGGGCGGTGCTCTATTGATTATATAGTGAAAATGCATTATTTCTTTAAAAATCTTTTTCTCTGTTCCTGGTTATTAAATAAACTCTCTAAGTACATAGTCATGATGAGGAAGAAAACCTTTGTGAATTTTATGGCCCCAGGGTCAGGGGTTCTAATGTTAGGGCGGGGCTCTATTTATTATATAGAGAAATGCAGACTTTGATTGAAAATCTTCTTCTCTGCTGCTGGGTATTCAACGAATAAACTATAGTATAAAGTTATAATGTCAGCAAGAATGCTTCTTCCAAAATTGTAAATTTTATGGCCCCAGGGTCAGGGGTTCTGGTGTTAGGGTGGGGCTCTATTTATTATATAGTGAAAGTACATAAATTGTTTGAAAATCTTCTCTTCTCCTGAGTACTAAATAAACTAACTAAGTATATAGTAATGATGAGCAAGAATGCCTTTTCCAAAATTGTGAATTTTTATGGCCGCTGTGAGGATCAGGGTTTCTGGTTTTAGGGTAGGGCTCTATTGATTATATAGTGAAAATACATTATTTCTTTTAAAAGTCTTCTTCTCCGTTCCTGGGTATTAAATAAACTCACTAAGTACATAGTCATGATGAGGAAGAATGCCTTTGTGAATTTTATGGCCCCAGGGTCAGGGGTTCTGTTGCTAGGGGGGGGGGCTTTATTGGTTATATAATAGAGAAAATGCAGAAATTGTTCGAAAATCTTCTATGCTCCTGGGTATTAAGCAGATGAACTACCTATATAGCTATGATGAGCAAGGGCCATTCTTCCTCAGAGTTGTGAATTTCATGGCCCCAGGGTCAGGGGTACCATAGAGGGGGGGACGCTACTTATATACTGAAAATGAATTAATTGATTGAAATCTTCTCCTTTGTATTAATCAAATATTTTTGATAAGCAAGGGTTTTTTTCCACACTTGTGAAGTGAGTGGACCAAGGGTCAGGGGTTCATGTATGGTAGTTGCACTATACTAATTATTGCTGAATCTTACTGATTAGTGGAAATGCATTTTTTTTTGCTCTCCTAGCTACTCTGTCCATGGGTATTAAGTAACCAAACTAAACATGC